TGAGTGTATTATTCTATTTTGTCATCCTTTAGCAACATCTACTATCAATTACTGCGAATTTTAACTTAGATGCATTATTTCTATAATATCGCTTTTATTTTTCTCGGTATATATTAATCTTCAGAATATTAAATTAAGTCCAAATTGGTTTCTAATTCAAATTTAAATGCTTTAATTGTTTCTATAGAAGATGTGTATATTTCATCAAATCGGACCCTAAATACACTGCGTACAAATTATAAACTAAAATTATGATATTATTTTTAACGCGGTGTAAATGTTTTCTATAACTTGATTTTCTATCTATCGGCCTTCTAAAAGACAACTTTTGAAAACTTGCTTTGTTACCATTTACGCGTTTTTCAATAATATGCTATTAAAAATTAGACCTTAGAAATTCTGAGAGTACTAACGACCTTCATATACATATTATAAATGCAAACTTGTATAAACCAGATATGTTTAATGACTCGTTAAGTTTGTCAAACACTATTTGGAATAAACGCAAACCTGGTGACCTAGTCATCGAAGCGGTGGCTACACGTGCAATTTCTATCGTGTACTTACTATACTTACAATGAAAAACAAACAAATTTTCATAGAAAAACAAAATAGCGCGGACGTCAAAACCACAATAATCCGAAAATCGGAGCTTGCGAGGTTTACTTTCCTAGAGTTTATAGAAGTTAAAAAAAATCGCAGTTGTGTACGCGTTGACACATTATTAATGCTTATTGTAATCGGTTTTAATGTATGCAAAATTATATATTGTAAAAGTAATAACTACAGTATGTACACCATTAAAAATACAAAATCAGTTCTGGAAGCTGTTTTTATTATGGCTAAGACATAAGTACTTTGTCATCAGAATAAATTGTTAAAACTAAAATAGCGGTAATACTCGAGCTGAATGAAATTACTTATAAGATTACAAGATAAGATGAGAAAAAAAATATGAAGAAATATATTTGGAACGGACTCGAATACAGGTGGTGGTTGCTCTCGCGAGCATAGAACTGAATAAGAAAACAAAAGAATGTTTGTAAAATATTAGAATGGCATTTGTTTAGCAAAAAAGGGAAAAAACGTTGAAACGGTCGTAAAAATATGACACACTGACGTATTCTAATGTCAAAAGAAGTTACTCCAGAATGCGAAACGTGTCACGTGTGTGGATTACAATTCACAATAAAGTGTATTCTAATGGAATATATGGAAAAACGAGGAGAGTCTAAGAGATATGAAAGACACACTATGTAACTGTTAGATCTGTTAGATTCTAACAGATTGAGAATCAAATAGAGTAATATCACAACAACCCCAAGTTTTTTTTTGTCCGAATAGCGAATCTTTATAGTAATATGTATTGATATATTATGAAATAGAAAAAATAGCTATTTTGGCACTAGATGTCTATGGAAATTTGTACAGTTTCTAGTGAAACGTTTAACAACGTCTCAAGCATTTTTGTATTAGGTAATGTACTTTTTACAAACAATTTATCAATATATCTAAAAAAAAATTAAAAGTAATAGCCAAATACGCCAACTCAGAGAAACATCAGATGTACCATAAATAGGTTTAAATTAATTATTATTCGACTATCTAAAAGAAAACCGAACAACGTTATAAGAATGTCAATAAAAAAATACACTACAACGGCGTTTATATAATCAAATAATATAAATCTGTTAAGAGGTTTCTACACCTACGTATTTTTGGTCGTAAACAACTTAGTCTACGTCAAACGTACTATTTCTAAAAATACTCCGATTTAAGTTTTGAAAAAGCATTTGAGTTCTTCATAACATTTTCAAGTCTATGGCTGTGACACAATTTAAAAATTATTTTCTGTTAATTAATTATTTCAGTTTAAAAAAGTTAAAAAATTCAGTTTTTTACACTGAAATAATAATTAACTAAAAATAATTTTTAAATAGTGCCACAGCCTTTGCCTTGAAAATGTTATGAAAAATTCAAATATTTTTTCGAAACTTAAATCGAAGAATTCTTAGGATCAGTACGTTTGAAGTAGTTACATGTATTTTTGTAAAAAAAGAGATCCTATAGACGTTATACAAGTTGGGAAAAAAACATTTTTCAAAATAGATACTTCTTTCTTATGGTAGTAGGTATGTTTAAAATTTTTAGCTTAATGTTAAGTTTTATCGAAAAATTACCTATACAATGCGCCTTAATAAATGCTAGTGTAGAGGCTCCTTAATAAATTCTTTTTTTTCTAAAATAGTCTTAAATGGGTTGATCAACATGTTTAAATAAAATGAGAAGGAGTTACAGCCATACGATCGTATCTCAAGAAGTTGTGTTATGTTTATTAACAGAGTAAATTTATAATAATGTATCTAAACAAAATACTAGTCTGCTAAAAGTTGGAAAATGTGAGATCAGAGATTCTGTATTTTGTCTTAATGGAAAGCAAATTATAATCCTTAAGTTTATGCTTAATACTTTTTTGTAGCCTTGAAATATACAAATTAAATAAGATCACAATAAAAATTTTACTTACCCCATCCGCCATATCCGCCCCATCTGCCCCATCCGCCCCATCCGCCCCAACCTAAAAAAATAATTAAAAATAAATGTATTACTGCAACATAAAATGTATAAACATACATTTTATGAATACTATAGATAGCAACACGAATTGTGAAAATAATTAAAATTCAAAAAGTATTTACCCCACGGTCCTACAGCCCAGACATATTCAGCCGTTTCCATATCGCTTCCGTTTGCTGAAGTCTTATTGACGATTTTGCCATTGAATAACGTGTTGTCATTGTGTAGCTTAGAAGAATCACTTATTTCAGTCACGTGTGGCGAAATCAAACGCTTCCTGGACAAAATTATATTTTCGTTGTTCTCATCCAGAGGAAGTGTTAAAACCAAATCGAAGTAGAATAGAACACAAACCATTAATGCAAAAACCTAAGTAAAAAACAATTTTATAAAAACAACATTATACATTTTTATTGATACAGTTACAATTATTTAAACAAATTATCGGCTGTAACGTTATACCTTCATTTGGATTAGTCTTAGAGTATCCGTGCGTGTGTGTAATTGCATTCATTGAAATAAATTGAAGTGGTTATCCGAGATTTCAACGGGTTTTATATGTGCTTGTAGATTTTTTCCATTAAGAGTGCGTCACATTATTATGTCTTGTCTTTGTCTGTCACACGTTGTTTGTACACAAACCACCTACCGCACTTTTCCACAGTAGTATAACTTACTGTGGTTAGGTTTAGGACAAAATCACGTATTAATACAAGTACAAAACTTAAAGACGGCCACTCGATTGAGGACAATTTTCGAAATCTTTATTTTTTAGATAATTATTGAATAATAGCTTAAACAATGTTGAGTATGTTTTTTCATGCAACTATATATTAGGAGAATGAGAAGTATGAAATTTAATCCTTTTGGGAATATAGATCAAGCCATCCTTTCCAGGGTTTCTAATATGCGTTCATGCCTAAATTTTATGAGTAGGTCATCTAGATAACTCCATTTCGCAGTTTCTATAACTTTTGCGTGTGATAGACAAAGACAACACATTTTACTACGACGTAGCGTAGCCCTCCTAAGCTAATGTAGTCGTTAACCTTGATTTTCCAAATAATATTACTTTATCATACTTGAATAGGTTTTCATTTATGTCTTAATAGGATTTATTTTTATCGAAGTTCTAAAAATACTTTGTTTCAGTGTGTAATCCATTAAGGTTGTCGCAACATTATAAGTGCATTACTAATTTGCTATTTTGATGGAATCGTCCTTAAACTTTTAACTATGTAATTAAATTTAATTACCTACTTCATTAAACTCCCTATATATGTGGCGTATTTTAATTATTATATTGATTTAATGCGAACAAGTCGTTAGTCAAAATCACTTGTGAAAATTAATCAAACAAATATAAAAAGATTAAAAAAATTTAATGACAAGCCATGAATCTATTAACTAATTTATAGCTAAAGCTTAAACATTGAAACATGAATATGTTTCAGCAGTTTCTCTTATCTCTCAGGTTTCTCCACAAGTTTTTTAACTGACTAAAATTAAATAGTGTCGTCATTACGTTTATGACGATTTTCACGGGATTGGCCCCCAGGCTAAAATATATTCATGTTAATATTTAAATGTTTTACAATTTTTTAAATAAATACCACAGTTTACTCAAAGATTTAAAAAAAAATCAATAGCATTCAGGCACTATAGTATAATTTATTTTATGATTTTTTTTTATTTTACAAATTTAAACTCTATTGCGCTCTCGCTCAGATTTTGTATTTATAAATTGGTAACAAATAATGTGTTTATTATAATAAATTTGTCGTTTTTCTATAATACTCTAATATTTTCTATTTTTTTTAACAATAATTTTTTTTATCAATGTTATGACTTAAAAGTTTCTGATCCCTTTACATATGACCGGTTTTCTGAGTAATATAAATGTGATTAATTATTATAACAGTAATTGCTTTAAAGCTAAAAATCAGTCATTGTTAATATATTGTAGACAGTAATAAAAATATGCAACACCTAATATGAACAGAAAATATAAACTTTGACGAGATATAATCAAATTAGACAAAGTTACAACTTATAAATAATTATGTTTTTATAAACGCTATTATGGTTAAAAATACATTATCATTATTTTTTTTTATTGATATAAATCATTGCTATACATTACAATATAAATTACAAAGTTAACGTTTTGATTAATTTACCCCATTAAGCATGCTTGTGGCGCGGTAAATGATTTTAAGTAATAACTTTTATTATTTTAAGTGTGAGAATCATAGACCTGACTGAATTTTGGTAGGGCGTTAAAATAAACCGAAATATTATCAGTGAAAATTGTATCAGCCACCGATATTATGGTTTTGTAATTAAAATTATAAATTATTACTGTAAACACGAATGTAGTAAATCATACAATAATGAACAATTTAAATTTATGTGTGTTTTAGCCAGTGGATCTCCGAGAGGAACACTCAATAAAGATCCACAGAGGAGTTCGTCGCCTTATAAAAATACACAGTACAATGTGCAAAAACAAACTTTTCCAGATGAGTCGAGAAGAGCTAGTAGTAGTGTAAGTCAAGTAAGTAAACACTATTAATTATGTTTTAACAATAATGTTTACTGTAAATAACTTTTTCCGGGCGGTTCTGGTAGGTTTAGTTAGATAGAAGGAAGTGTGGGGTGGGCCGTGAGTGTAATGAAAAAGTAAAAAGCGGTAGGACCAGTGGAAGTGGGGAGAAGTCAGGGAATGTAAACATAGGTTGGTTGAACGATTTTTTTAAATAAAGTAGAGGGGAAAATGTCAGAAGAGTGGAGGAAGAGCTTTGTAGTAATTATATTTAAAGACAAGGGAGAATTACAAGAATGTGGCGATCATAGAAGAATAAAATCGATGAGTCAGATTTGATGAGTGATTGGGATTTGGGGAAAGATTATAGAAAAAAGAATTAGAAGTGAGACATTAATATCTAAAGATTAATTTAATATTTAATTAGTTTAGATTAATGCCAGGGAAATTGTCGACGGAACTGGTGCTTTGTGTGGGACAGCTTGTGGAAAAGTATAGAGAGAAAAGAATCAAGCTACGTCTAGTTTTTATAGATTGAGTGAAGGCGTACATATGACAAGGTTAGGCTCGATGGCGCATTATGTTAGCAGAAGATATACATTTGTTAGAAGAAAATCAGGAAGAAGTTAATAATAGGCTCGAATGAGAATAGCACTTAAACGAAAGGAACTAAGGATTAGTAGAAGTAAAACAAAAGAATATATAGAGTATAAATTTAAAATAATGGGACAAGAGGTTGACGGGACAAAGCAAGCAAGTAATGATAATATAAGCGGTGACGTACGTGACAAGGTTGAGAGTTTAAAGTAATTAGAATCTTTTGTGCAAAATAACAGTGGTTTTGATGAGGATATGAAACATAGGATTAAGTGTGGCTACATCAAGTGGAGTAGAGCGTCAGCCATCAGGTGTTATATGTGATAAGCAAATTTCAATTAGATTTCAAGGTGAAATCTAAGTTTTCAAGAGTGTGGCAAGAGTCAAGACTGACTATTTTGTATGCAATTTTTATACAATATACATTTGTATTCTCAATATACATTGTATATTAAGAGTATAGTTTATTAAAAAAATAATGTTTCGAAATAAATTAAAGCTTTTACCAGATTTATTTTTATAATTCATAAGACTTACTAATTAAATTACATTTTTGATTTTATGACTTAAAATTGTAATTTTATTTTCTATTGCTTATGAATTATAATAATATTAATAATGATAAATGTACAAACATGATTAGTTATTATTCTATTTAGTTTTAATAGGATTTGCTCAAACGCTATGCCTGGGTTTAAAACTACTATTGAAAAAAAAAACCAAATAACGATTGTATATTTTCCTGGTTGTTGTGCCACATTCCATATTATATATGTACATAGAGTATTGTTCCCATTTACAAAGTAATCAATTCTGAAAAGGATATATTATGGTATACGGTTAAACAGTCGTATATAGTCCACGTTGCCATTCACCAATGCTGCTATCATACCGTATAGGTACGGATCTGTCTTTAAATAGAATTTATTAATTTGCTTTTAATATGATGTCAATTAAGATTTCATCAGTACACTCAGCTTCTTTAAAGTATAGATAACGGACTAACATTTTAATTATATATTCTTTTTGATTTAGTTAATCCCGCCGATGTATCGTCATTATTTTATTAACTATTATAATACGAATGAAATACTATAAGTCATTATACAACAATAAATAAATAAATTCTCGTAGGTACTTATGACCGGTAGTAGACCCTGTTTGGACCTAATTCGGTGGCAGAAATTACAGCATTTTTAGTTTGTACCGCTGAAGAGCCAAACACTGTCACCTCACTCGGCCGCTCATCTTCTTCAATTATGTATTCAGTTATTTATTAAGACAATATGGACTGAACCCTTTGGAAGCCCTTAGTATTAACAAATAAACATTATCTTGTATGAAATTAAAATATATCAAAACTTGAACATAAACTTTTAGAAAAAATAATATTAAATATATTTAAAATTATAGTTAAAAACGCACAAATTTAATTATAGCTAAACCTGCTAATAGTTTTTATCGGGAAAATATCTGTTTAAATGGCAATTAATGATGAATTATTTTTAATCTGTTATATTTGCTTGACTAGCCATACATAAAAAAAAACCATCGTTAAAATAATTAGGAAGGCCACCTTCAACACTAAAGGATTATTTTTAATTGACTTTAATTTGACCTTTAAATCATTAGAAATAATCTACATTATAAAAATATTTTTATTTAAATACATAATAAAATTATTATATTATTATTATTATTAATAACATTAATTTGGAATAAGCAAAATAATTACATCAAGTTATATATACATATTTTTCTTATAACTACTAAGTTATATCAAATTACTAATATATACGTGTGCATTTCAGCTTAATTTTTAATTTAAGCCTTCGTAACTTTTAGTATTTCTTATTTTACTTATTGGTTTTTTAATAGTAAAAAGAAAATTAAAAAAAAAAAACGTTTTACTTTATACTATCATTCATCTGTATTGCGTTATTATCATTTGCAGGTTTCCGGCGATGAGAGAAAACGTTTATGTGATCATATCAAGCCTTCTGACAGTGGTCTTACTCTTTATGGGTCATTGACTTACCAACTGAACCACGCTAACATGGAGTCCACGGGTATATTCGATTATATTGTCAAAGCTTTGGGTATTATCCATAGAACAGGTAAGGATTACATAATATTATAATATGCACATTTGCATGAAGTTCGGTGTATCTGTAGCATTTCTGTCATTAACGAAGAATTCTGTACATAAAAAATATCATGTTTATTTTGAAATCATAAATGTATTCTATTAGTACTAACAATATGAAACTAATCTTGTACAAATATACAATTAAAATGCAAAATGTCGTTAGTAAATACCGTTTAAGGTGAAATTATACTATTAATAGATTCATAATTATTTATTGTTATAGTTACTAGACTTCCTACTAACTATAATTTAAAAAATATATAATTAAATATTTCAAAAGAGTGGGGAATATTATTTTTTTAATTATAAGTAAATTTTTTAACAATTCTCAGCATTCAAAAAATGTTTTACATTAGTTCCTTGTTTGTCTTGTTGCATATATTAGCTTACACATGATATAGGATGGGCACTGCTTTTAAGTAGAATAACTTAAAAAGAAAAAGAGGTGAAACTTTGAAAGTGTCATCGTCAAACTACGACAATACTTTTGTTTTTATTTTCAGTTATCGAATACACATTGAAAGTTTCTAGTATTTCTATAATGACAAATCTTCATGCATCAGACTATTCGCTTTAGACCAACCGGCTTTTTAGTACTAAATTCGATTGAAAGATTTTTTGTTAAAAGATAAACAGTTTCTTAGTTCAAATAAAAAAACTGTATAAAATTGAAGCCATGTCCTATTATTACAAAGTAAATTAATACATTTTTTTTTGACATGGGATCTTAAACTTGTTAAATGTGTATAAAAATAAAACAAAGTGTTTATCTTTATTGACCAAAGAGTATACACCAAAATGGCCAATGTCTAAAATGGCTTAAGTCAAAATATAGTGGTGACGTCCAAATGTCTTATTTCCGTTTGTTTAATGTTTTATGTAAACATTTAAGCAGAACGGCTGAAGTAGCATCGGAATGGTGTAGTTTGTATGTTATAACTTATAAACATAAGTAACTTGTCATCGGATACTTCTCGGTTTAATCCTTGACAATATAATAATTTAGTTCAACAGTGTAGTTCATTGTACCAAATAAAAAAAAAAAAAAATCATAATGCGGTTGTTTGAAGTGTTTTGCTTATCATCAACGTAAAATATGTTTTTATTCTCAAAATAAGCTCCGGGCTTAAAATAAAAACTTGAAGTTTTCTTTGTTTTCCATTGACAAAGTTGATGACTAGTAATTATTTTTGAAAATATCTAAGTACTCTCATGAAGAATGGCGAAACCCATAAAATGCAGTGTTTTCAATCTCCGTTTTGAAATTTCGTAAGATAATTGCTTCTTATGGCATGTACCGGGTCGGACACGAAAGAGTAAAACAGTCTTCAAGTGTTTTTTAAGTGACAGTATACCGACTTGAAACATTAAGGAACTGATTTAAAATTTCCCTCTTTTTCGCTATATCTCAAGTAGGTATTATTATTATCTTTTTGTCCTCTTTTCAAGTTATTTCTTTTTCATGTCAAATTCATTTCTATGGTTGCGCATTCCCGTCACGTTCACTACAACAGGTCTTGCTGTCGTTCACCACTGGAACCACCTGGAGTCACGTATGCGAACTTTGCAAAATGCTAAAATGAAATTCGGTCAAGTCGTTATTCGTGTCCATACCTTTAATTTATTTGCTTTGGATTACCACCATCGTCATATTCGCTCGTTATTTAATTAGAAACTCTGATTCAGTTGTTGGTTGCTGTGATTGTTTTCCATTGTTATGCCAAACGCAGTTTAATTAATTATTTGTTGAGGTCAGTCTGTTGACTTAAATTATAACAACCCATCATACAAACCTGTGTAAACGATATAACGGGCAAAGAGTAATAAAATAAATAGTTATAATGGCTATAAATTTGCAACACATGGTGCTATCAAGTGGGAACATAAAAATGTATACCTAGTGTTGAGGTGAGCGTGTAAAATTTAAAAACTAATACTCAATTCTTAAAATATTTACCGAAGAAATGACGTATATTTGGATCATTTAACAAATTCGGGTTTTTTCTGTTCTACGTCAATCTTGTCTACATGCCTCAATTTTACGACACGAAAAAAATGTCCAATTACTTTGACCTTTTGTTGGCAACTTTAACACAAAGCTTTCCAAATATTTGCCTGTAAGCAAACTGAAAATAATTCCAACATGTTTTTTTCATTCCCCTGTTGTCCGACCTCATGGTTTCCAAGTTTTTGTATAACCAAAATAAGCAATATGCAATGCAGTAAGATTTATCTATCACTGCGGTTTCATCGTTTTGCATTCATTTTCCCGGTTGAAATTTGATGAGTATTTTTCCATTGCTTCTCTCACCACGCATGATGGGATTCTCTGGACAAGATCTTAATTTCATCAAAGTTGGCAAGTCAAGAAGGCCACAGCATCAACTAGTGATACATCAATTAAAAAGAAGGCCAGTTTTTGAGAAAAAATGACATTTTATTGTTCAGTGAAATGGAAAAATGGTTTGCTGGAATAAAACGATTTTTAAATATATATGATTTTTCGTTCACCGGTAATTTCATAACGATTTGTCAAAAGAAAATAAAGGAAAAAATAACACCGACCAAATCGTTTGTCTTCCGGTCATGTATCATAGTTATTTCTATTTTATATGTTAGATTATACTGTAGAGGTATGTTTAAACAGTTGTCAAATGGTTTTATCCTATATTTTTCATGTATACGAATCTACTTAATTCTTAATATCTTGATATTAAGAACAATGTTGACAATTAAGCCTAAGCCTCAGTATCCTTTGAGTTAGGGTTGGGTTGAGTGAGTAGGGCACATACATAGTTTACACCATAGGGATTTTAGACCTTATCGTGGCAGTTGTTTTGGAGTCTACTTATTTGTCAAAACTTAAACTGATTAGAAAAAAGAAATTATCAGTGAACAAGAACTTAATAACGTTGTTTGAAAAACAATTAGGAAAAAGCAACATTTGTTTTATTATTACAAGTTGTCTTTAAAATACTACAAGTCATAAAACTTTTAAATTATTTAAAGTTATAGTTAAGTAAGTGTAAAAATACGATAATTTTCCGTATTTTTTTTTAATGAATTTTCACCTCTTTTTTTTTTCTATCCGTTTTTATTGAGAACTCAGTTTGAAATTTGCACATTTTGTATAAAATTTTCTCAGCTTTCTGAAAAAAACTTAGAGGTATTCTCAAATTTTGGACAACACGAAAAAACCAACATTTTAGATTATAAACTCGGTTTTAATAACCTTCTTTTACTCAAAAAAAAAATCAAAATTTTTTCAGAAAAGTGAGATTATTTTACAAAAGAAACTGATTTGTATTAATTTGTTTTGATGCCCGAAGATACTATAAAAATGATAAAAAATAAAGGTAAACAAATAAATAAATAAAAACACAATTTGAGAACATTTTTTTCATCGTAACAGTCATGCTGGGTAAGTTTCAATAAGTCCCGCGGGTGGGTGTTCCAAAAGTTCGTTCGCATTTGGCCATATATTATATTGCGTGGTCGTTTTTAACCTATAATATGTATAAAAGTTAGAAAAAAAAGTCTAACAATAATTTAACAAAATGATAATGAACTCTAAAAAAATTTATGAGTTCTGGTGGTACCAGTGTGGATTATTGGTTTGCCCTGCGGTAGATTGGTAATTGAAATTATTGTAAGTGGGCTACCTCCTGTAGAGGCAATAATCATAATTTAGTAAAGGGCACTGCTTTTGAAATGACCTACGCCTTAACAGCGATGACGTGAATTCCGCTTATGGAAAGGTTATAGGTATACTATTTTTATGACCCCACCACGATGTCAAACCCTTTGGACAGCTGCGTGTTGTCTGAATAATATATTAATTGTTATTCTTTTTTTTTGCCATCTATCTTCCATTAGATAATCCAAAACATTTGTAGTGAATGTTTCGGACAAATAAAATAAATAACGCACAGTGTTTATTATTTTTATAACCTTTTTTATGAACTCACAATTTTGTTTTCTAACTTATTCTTATTTATTAATTCATAGAGCCATTACTGATTTGAATGGCATATTAGAATAGTCAACTTTATGCTTGCACCCAACACCCAAAACAAAATTTTGTCATCTGTCCAGTTAAAGCATCTAATGCAAGATATTTTTTTTTTCAGTGATTGTCACGGTTATTTTGTCAATTTTGGCAATTGTGCCTTTAGTCATGTTCGTTGTTGGTAAGTAAAAACAATTTTTATTTATTACGTATAACATTGATGTATTACAACTTCTTTACTGTGAAGTTATATAAGTAATAAAGTCCTAAAGTGCTTATAATTAAGTCACGATGATCCATTGGGATTACCGTTAGGGTACACGTTTAATTTTTAAGTATCCTGTTTTGCTTTTATTAATTATGTACCACTAAAGTGATCTTACCACTTTCAGCTATACAAATTCTTCAAAAAACAAGTTACCTCACCAATTCCAATATGGTCCGTCCCCACTATGCCTCCACCCTACTGTGCTGGTTTTTTGTTATTTTAATTTTTCATTATACAAAAAAAAAAATACTTCACAAAATATACCCTAGAGAATTAAAAATACACCACTGCACCAGTAAAAAAATGTTAATTATGTTAAAACGTTGTTATTTATGGACATCAGACCATTTTCATTGTATAATTTTATATAGAAAAAAATATGTAGCAACGGACATGCTTGAATTTTGGTTTGATAAAGAAATGTAATTTATTGAACTTCCATCACCGTTAAACATTTTCCTATTATGGTGATTCTTGCATTACTGATATTTTGGAAATAAACTGATGTACTTAGGCACGTTAACCATGTACACTGAACGTAGCACGTTTTACTAATGACTTCTCCTTTTTTCTCAATCATATTATGTTTAAAGTGTAATCAACATTCCTCGGCTTCTGCAACTTCATAATTCATCATACTTATATTTTGTTTAACGTGTTAAATTTAGCTGACATAATAATTTTTCTATTTAAAATGAGATTTATACGTAGTTAATTATAATGTATTATCGTTATTTCAACTAAATTCTGCTTACAGGGTAGTCTGAATATGATTTTCAACTTTAATAATTCCGTTAGCGTTTCATGAAATTGCTTTTTTTTTAAAAAAAAAAGCATATCAAGTGTGGTGCTACGATATTATGTATAATAAATTACCTCAAAGAAGATAAGCCATGTATTATAATATGCACCTACTACATACCACTATAGGTATCGTATAGTAATAAATATTAATTGTGCAAGCTATAGTATGTCTCATAATCATAATAAATTATCAAATTCAGTGGAATTTCAATGAATAACTAAGTTGGGTGACTCCGTAATGTATTGACTTTATATTGTATAGTTCTGACACAAGATTAATATTTCTGTAATTTTGCCAACTGATATTAAACTGTAGTAAATTTATAAATATAAAAACTTATTGTTCGATGCGAAGCCGAGAAAAGGTACTGTTTTTTAATGTGTGTTGTTTTTTTTTGTGTCTGAAACCACGATACCTCTTAAACCGCTGTACCGATTGATTTATGTAGTAAGTTTATGGATCAGATATCGCGCCTCAAAGATATTAATATAATAATAATAGATAGATAGTACATTATTAGATAATAAAGTACTTATAAATGATAACGCAGAAAATAGAAAATGTATTTCTTCCCCTTCAAAACAGAGAAAACACCCTCAAAATGTACACTTTTTTTAATTTAAAATTATGGTATGTCGCAGCTTTTGGAAAAATAATCACTTACTTCCAAACTGGTGGAGTCTTAGGGTGTAATACTATCTATACACATTAAAAACATTGCAAACACATAACAAATATTATGAACCCTTTACCCCAGAACGAGTAAAAAATTGCCTTTATTTCGTTTTACTGTAGGTGTAAGTTTTTGGATGTAACTTTAAATGTCAAAATATAAGACTTTATTTAGTACTAGTGTGCCCCATAATATCTACACTTTTCAAACATTTTGTAGTCGAAATTATAATTATTACTAAAAACCAAAAAAGCTAAAATCACGGTTACAAATACAGTAATCATTTTTATAAAATGTAATATTTGAACTCGTTGATACTTACTTATTGTGATTTTTTTTTTATGTCAGGTATACAGGAAATAGATTTTATGTATACCAGGTATATTTTTTTGGAACAATAGTATTTTTTTATTTTTCTTATTTTGTAGGTTTTTTAAAAATAATTTAAATTTTACCTCTTGACGGGTAATTTTTCCATCGTAAAATTTGACAGTAGATCTTTTTTAATACAGGGTGATCATTTTATCGTGAACCACTGAATATGTCATAAGGTTTAATAAGAAATTACATTTTTTTTCATAATGTTTTTATACAATGTGATCTCCATTTTTCACAATTTAGTTTTTTTAATAGCTATTTTTAAAACTTAAATCGTAATGTATATATTTAATTAACTTTTTTAATTGAGAATAATGTACTAAAAATTTTGACTGGTTGATAAATAGTTTTGAACAACTATTTTTAAAGTTATAAGAGTTTAAAAGTTAGGACGGGAGGGAAAGTGCGGTTGAACAATGCGCACTGATAAAAATATCTCTTCTTTCCACCCTTCCTCCCATCCTAAATTTTAAACTTTAAAACTAATTATCCAAAACTAGGTATCAACCAGTCAAAATTTTTATCACACTATTCTCAATTTAAAAAGTTAATGAAATGTATGCGTTACCATTTAAGTTGCAATGTAGCGAAAATCTATAGAAACTTTCAATATAACATAATTATATAAGAAGATTATCTATTTTAGTTTTGTTACGCTAATAGATTAACTAATATAACTATTGTCTGTTATTTTATATATAACTACATAGAACTATTATATAAAATATAAATCTACTAAAATTTAACTAAATTAACTATATATAAACTAGTTTTGCGTTTTGACTTTGACGTTGAAACCGAAGGTATTATTTAACAATGATGTGTAGGTATACCAATCAGGAGAATCCAGGACAAAAACTCTACTGGACTGTTTTTTGCATAGTGTGTATGTCTATACTGTATTCATGCGTAACGAAAATATATGCAATCGGTTATTTTAAGTAGGTCAAAAGTTTAGAAAGTCTTTTTACCTTCCTTCACGTCCTCACCTATATAAAACAAATCAGTAGAGCTCATTTTAAACAAAAAGTTTACTATTGACCGCCCATCATCTTGCAAAATGAAAAAAAAACAGAAAACAACTGATTTTAATTTAATTTATTTTTCTTATTCAATAACAACAGTTCTAACCAAATAATAGGTTGGGAAAATTGAAATATACATACTTAATGCTACCTATTGTTGATTAAATCTATCCTAGACACGATTTTATGACTTTAGGTCTGATAATAATTATTCTAATTATTAACTAATTATTAGACTTCAACTATAATATTTTTAAAACAAATTCAGTTAAGTTAGGTTAAGAAGATGATGTCTTTAGACATAGACCGTAAACTTAGTGCACTAAATAAAATCTGGCAATGAACATTATCAAACAATTTTATTAAGGTGTCGATTTAATATTTAATTTTTTTAATTGTTGAACGTAGCAATGGTCAAGAGTTGTACTTTTAAAGTGGTTTTATCATTATTAAAATTTATTATGCTTCCAAACCAGTGGTATTCATGATTTAACTCGATGTTCACTTATTATAATTGTTTTTACTTTTCACTGTGCTATATGATAAAAATTATATGCAGAAGAACAGAAATGCCTCTATAAAAAAAATAAGCTTTATCCTTGTAGAACAATTTTAGAACATAAGGTCCAAACATTTTTTAGTTTTCTCTGATATTGTATTTTTACTACCTACGCTTTATATGGAAATATTAAGATAATTTTATACCTTATTCAAATAATGTATTCATAATAGATTTACGTGTTTTTTAATTTATTTATAATGTTTAAATTTAGATTACGACAAAAGATTTTTACATTTTACGCCAATTTACTTTTTTTAGGATTTTATATAAAAAAAACAACCCGTCATCGGTTACTTTTTGCTAAGACTTGCTGAGAATGGCAGTTTTTTTTTTACTTTTGAGTACAGTTAGCAAGTTAAGCAATTTGTAATTATTTTGATCGTTTTACTGAAGTACTCAACTCTTTAATGGCTGCAGTTAAGATTCGAATTGAGTTTAATAGATTTGGGTTTTTCTCTATGCGAAGACCTATTTCTCTTTCAAATATTAATTTATTTAATGAGTACGTTTAAATAAATTATGACTAATATCGCATATGGAGTAAAAAAATGGATTGTAATAATATGCCGTTTTCTACAGAGTTTTCCGTTTGTACTAAACTATAAAAAGTGACTAATTACCGGTTTACTAGCACTTTTTTAGATGATGCAAGTTTAATAAAACCACAAATGGCAACGTTCTTGAAAAATTGCCTATGTTATAGCCCCATTCTATACGTCAGACATTAAACCCTAAGACTTCACGTAAAAAAAAGCGAAATAAAGAAAAAAAATTACAGTTTACTTAAAGCCTAACGGCTAAAACGTATTATAAAACATGGAGCATGATGTAGCCTGCTGGCTCCTATGAATTGTGATTACATCTTACCTATAATCTCCTTGTGATTTATGATGATGGTATAGTATTAATTATATGTTCTGGTCAAATAAACAATAAATAATAAATTTGTTTTCTTCATGTTGTACAATACACCAATGGTTTTTTTCCCCATTCAACACAATTGTACGCTACATCAAAATCTTAAATTACAACTGATTTAATTGTAAAACATAATAACAATGGGTAGGAATTTTTGATAACCGTTCGGTATTTAAAGCGAGTTGGTAAAATCAATTTTAGCAAACACAAATAAATTACTGCGAACATTGTTTGCGTACATGCTTGCACACAAGTTCGCCTAAACCGGGCAACATTTCATTGAACATGTGCGCGCACATAGTTTTCTACCCTGGACCCGGTTTAATATGTATATTTTTAAACATAATAAATTTATGTATTTACGAATTCCATATAAAGTACCTATATTAAATAAAAATTCAGAAGAGACAGATGAACCTCACCTCCAAAACAGCCACCGTTTCCCCTTCAAAGTTGAAAAATGGACATGTATTTTTTTCAATTTAAAAAATATGTGGTATGCCATAAAATGACGAATTCCTTCCAAATAGAAACAGCATATTATTTTGGTGTAGATGAAGGGGGGGGGGGGTGAGAATATAGATGTAGAATATAACTCAGCTTTATAATGATAAAACAGTCTAAACGAGTTATAGGTTGTGATGGTGTGTAAAGGGGTTATAATAGGCCAGTTTCTGAATGAAGCATAAAACATCATTATCAAATATACTCACTTGGGAGTTACGTGGATGATAGAAAGGAGAGAACTCAGCAAAAAAAATAAGGTTTAGATCCCCCTCCCCCAAAAAAAGTCAGCCGATCAAAGTCGTGGTATCTACATTGCGGCCAAGCCTGTTTTATGCCTCACTCAGAAAGGTCATGTTTCATTCATAAACTGGCCAAGTGTTAAACAATACAAAAAAAGAGCAGTGTTGCTCATGAAAGTAGTAGTGAAATTAGGTTATGAACTAAAGAAATAGCAGGCAAGGCCACAATGTCATGTGTATAAAGTCACGTTGTATGTTAAAATCACCCTAAATGTTCATAATTATTCATAAAATACTGCATCAAAACGCCGGTATATAATAGAAAAAAGAAAATACGGATGTTCCATAATTGCATGATAGCTTAGACGAAAGATAGTTATCATTTATATTTTACATTTACACTGTCAGCTTTATACCTCTCGTTGGTGACTTCTGGGTAACGCTAATTGTCTGATGTTAAGTGGTAATTATTATGTGGCCGCAACTCATACGTCTCTCTTATAAACCCACGCCGCAACTCCCGCTTGATTTAGGGATTGGGCGGCAACTCATCAACACAGGTGTCGTTAGGCAAAAAGAAAGGGGATAGAGATACTCTATGCTCTGGGTGTATATACACTGGTTGAACACTGGTACTTGTTAGAGCACTAGAGTATAACGGATTGCTGTCCGGGTTCTTTGCGGATGTCGAAGAGCCGTTGTTTACACTGGATTAAAAAGAATTAGAGATTGAGAAAGGATAGGTACAAGATGCGAACGAATCGCAAAACACGAATACCTAAGGAAATGTAAGCATACACTGTGCGAACGAATCGCAAGACAAGTGCACGAGGAAAGAGGATAGACTACTAGGTGTTAAATGAACGAACTCTCGAACTTAAACCTTGTAGACGGACAGCGACAACCGAGTACTCTTGACTAATGACATGTGGTTACGGTTAAGTCGACTGACGAAATATCATTGAATTTAACTGTCTTTTATATTGTTTTACATTTTGCAACTAAGCATTAAGTTAATTTAATTGTTTAGTAATCAGTCTCGAGTCGTCGGAAACACTGCCCATGTTTATTTTTATAAATTTACCTATATTGATGACGTGGTCATCATATAACACAGGGTAATGATGATATTATGTTGTTTGTTTGTTTGTTTCGCAGGTGTTCAGTTTGTGCGTGACTGTCCCCGTGAACCGCACATACCAATCTACATGATCGTGGGCGGCATATTCGGACTGATCAAAATGATTTGGCTGTTGTTCCGGCAGGTCAAGTCTTTGCGGTACGACCGGCGCCGGCGTCCCGATCTCGGGTCCGGCGAGGACGTGGTCTCGTCCATGGGGTCCCGCATAGCGTCGGTCGCGCTGTCCGCGTTCCTGGCCGGGTGGTTCGCCCTGGGCAACTACTGGATACTGTCCGTGTACTGGCCCGACTCGGAACCGTCTTCGCTGTACGAGCCCAACGGCTGGTGCAACCGGACGCTGTACGTTACCAGTCTGGTGCACCTGGGCCTGGCGTACGCGTCCGGCGCCGCCGTGCTGGTCGCCGTCGTGGCCGTGCTCGTGTTTCAGCAGTGCGCGCTCCGTTTCAAATAGCATACGGTGGCCGGGTGTCCGTGTGCCGCCGCCGCCGCCGCCGGACGCCGCAGGCGGATGACCATCACCGGTATGCTGCCGTACAGCGCCATACACATCAGCGTCACGCATCCCGAAGACGGCGACGTGGACCTGTGATTTGCCAAAATCTCCAACATTACTGTTATTTCTGCCAAACATTACAAAAACCACTACTATACATTTCACATAGCGCGCGTTGCACATACATATAGAATAATGTAATGTCCAAAATAATGATAATAATTCATTTTTTTAATTATCTACATCGTTAGTCGTTACCTATAACAATAATATTATATCAACGGCGGTATTTTCAGTAACGCGTGTTAATTCTATTATACGCGTTTAACGATGATAATTAACTACTATAGCTAATTACTACTCATTATCCGTTTACATTAAGTATATAATTACATATTATTATTATTATTATTACCAAATTCAATTATAAATTGTACGGTTTACAGTAAACATTTGGATTGATCGTTGTTCCGGTAAGCGGTAACGACAACGCGCCAAACAATACTGAAAAGGAGGTACGACCAACAATATAATATTAATATTGTGGTTTTCGAACGAGTGTGTCCGAGGAATCGATTTTGAAGGACGATACGAACTCTGTATATTATATTTATAAGGGACAATTATGTATTATCAAAAGTGGCCAATGTATCTGACTTCACGACCGCGTGTAAGTATTCGTGAAAATTATATATTACTCTATTACATTTAGAAATAATTATAGAAAAATATATTATAATATTACCAATAGCAAAAAACCATACAAACATTACCCTAACGAAATTTTTCAGTGTCAACCCTAATTTATGTTACATTACTGGTCCTAGGGGGCAAATGTAATGTAATTATTTTCTATGAAGAAACAATTCTCAACATTTGTTATTTTCTGTTAAACTTGGTATTACACCTATATTATTACTTATTCATACAAACGCTTTCAATAAAAATTTAAAACCGTTAATTATTTCAATTCTACTTGCAGTTTGTCTGATGCGTTTAAGATTATATACTATTAGGCATGCCTATTATTTTGTTGACATTTTTTCCCACTCGTTTCCTTTTTTTTTTTAATCGTCTTTTAATTACACATCTAATATAATATTGGAAAGAACTATAAAATAATATTTTTATTTCACTCAGCCATTAACTTTTCTACCGTTAAATTTTATTGGATATTAATTTCTTTTCTCATCATTGTCAAATGTGGACCAATGAACACTATACAGTTTTTATTCAGGGAGATAAAACAATCGTAGCTTATTATCACAAATCACATTAATTGTTACATGGTCAAAGACTTAATTAAAATACTAAGTGTAAATAAAAAACATTTTCAAATTATTTATAGTTATCGAAAACATATATATATATATATACAGAGTGATCCAACTAACGTAAGACACTATTTTTTAATAAAGTAATAACAAATGAACAAATAAATGAAAGTTCAAAATTTAAACGCTAACATATTTTTAGTTAGAAAATGTAATTAGTAAAATATGTACCTAAAATTTTAGGAAAAAAAAATTCTCAAAATATTCATATTTTTAGAGACAATAGTGTCTTACGTTAGTTGGATCACCATGTGTATATATATATATATATGTAAGTCTAATATAGAATAAAATATGAATGTTTATGAGACCAATATATTAAATTACTGAGGAAACACCACTCTACAATGTCACAGGGAAGCACGAAACTAGTAGGAGACATATAATATTTTGTAAATTTGTTATAAAAGAATATTAATGTTTAATTTAACCAAGAAGGTAATTGAATTTAAAAGAAATATGACCCACATTTAAGCTTGAAGGAGGGCCAAATTATAACTTTACAACACTATATATAAAAAAATCCAGTAATGTCATAAAAACGAGTAAAACATCAACCATATGAAATGAATCATAATCCTTTCCTAAAATGTGATAATAAATATTTACTTATGTACATATAAATCATGCAAAAATAATATTAAAATAAAGTCTTTTATAAAACAAAAAAAATAATATTCTTTTCATAGTAATAGCTTACATAGTTAGTGTAATGAATTTTAATAGTATTATGTGTGGATTGTATATTAGACTTATGCATTCTTTTTTTTGCTAATTTAAAAACATGAATTACATAAGAGAATAAACTGTTTGTTGTAAGTTATGTAGAATAATTTAAGAAATCAAAAAAAAAAAAAATTATACGATATTATTAATGAGAAAAGTTATACTAAGTCAAAAACAAATTATTCGTACATTAGTTTGAAGCGAATGACAGATTATCACTATAAAACATAATGCCAGATAGGAAAATATTTCAGAAAACGTTGAATTATTATAAATCTGATGGTCAAGGGATAACCGAATGAGTAGTAAGCACATTTTATTTAGGACGGAAAGTAATGCGTAGACAAGAATAATACTACACTCCACCCTTCGTCCACCCCTAAACTTTAAACTTCAAATGAAAAGTTGAAATGTTTACAAAAAGTAAAACTACAAAATTGTAATTATTTTCCAAAACAAATGAGGATCTTATGTTAAATGGATCGCCCTGTGTACACAGACTATTTTTCCTGGAATTCGCGCAAATATTATTGTAAATTTGTTTTACTTTAATTATATATGACGCAGTAATTTTCTTATGCCCGCCTTTCTTATACTTTGATACTGTCATTGAGCGAAATGCGACAACAATCTCATTTATTTGCCAAATGTCGGCACCAAAGTTTGCAATTAAGTTCAACATTTCTTCGACGGTGTTGGCGGTGAGCACTAATAATGAATTATTGTCCAACTCGAAGCAATGGGAAATCCCACCTTTATCGTGCCAAAGCGATTTCAGCGTTTCCGACGATTCGTTTCAATTTTGGTTGAGACTTTAATGTTTTTATTTTGTAATTTCTGATGTGTATAATATACTGTATATATACTTATACATACATGTTTATCAGAATTTCATGGCACACCTGATATTTTGATGATGTTCTAAAATTCTTGAAAAAATAACCTATTTGAACCTTTTATGATTTTTATAAAAAAAAAAATTAATTAACATAATCAAATATTTATGTAACTATATTATATTAATTACGAATATGTCTAATTAATAAACAGAACTAAAAACATCAAATTGATTTACGAAGACATTTGTACTTGAAACTAGTTATTATAGACAAGACACTCATAAATATTGACACGAATTTAACAGAGAAGTCATTCAATTATTAGTTTTATCAAGGTGAATATAACTAACATATTTAATCACATATCTTAACATAAATACCTAAAAATTGCATACCTATAGAAGTCATTTGTCATAATATTATTATAAGAATAATATTTTTATAATTCAATATTTCATTTTTCTTTCAGTGTACCTATTTAATTGGTCATCATAATAATTATAATTTTACATGTGTATCAAGTTGCTGTAATTCCAGGGACCAATATCGTAGAGACCCAACCATGTCGAATTAGGTCATTATGTCGGACAAGTTGTATAGATAAACAATTGTACTTTGTATGTATTTTGTCAAGATAACATACAAATATCGTACATATGTGTGTGAATTGATATTAAGTATATAGCCTATACACATATATTAATAAATAATAATATTATAATGTAGAATGTTTCTCTCACAACACACAATACTTGACTAATAGTACTTAGTTACACTAAAACTCTATACTAAGCAGTCTCACCTGAAACCATAGGTCACAAGACTTGCATCGATTTAAGGATTTATTCATATCTATATTACAAATAATTTTTTTTGTTTATCATATTAATGAAATCAGGCAGTTTGATTCACTCTATCCACAAAATATATCAAATATTTATCCATCACAATTTTTTTTCACTTACTCCTCACACCTTCATTCCTTTCTTAACACTTCTTTTTCTGTTTACTTCTACCACTAACCTTTTACATTATAATTCCATTTATCCTTTTTATTATGTATCATATCTGAGCCCTGTAATTTAAAAACGTTTAATGTATCATTTGCATGGGCATATAGCTAGAAGACAGGCTTTGGACGTTTATACCTTTTTAAACCCCATACAAGCTCTCAAAAAATGTCAGCAACCAAACTGGCGTAACCTACATGCAAGGTTTTTTAATCAATAAAATACGTTGGAAAAGTTTGAACCTCCTTCTAACTACAAACTCATGTAGATTTATCACAAATTTATACTTTTCACCCAAATTCATTAATGGTGAAAATTTCAATCTTTTAAAATATTAGTTTAAAATATAAAATCCCTGAAATTAAATATTATTATAATAAGCTATTCAAATATATTTAGTAAAAATGTTTATATATATATGAAAATAATTAGATTACATAATGGATAAGGTGTTCACGTCATAATTATAATTATTGGTATCTTTATAAATTGTCAGTTGTTCAATAGTGATTATATTGAATTCCATTTTTATATTACTAAAGTAACTCCTACAATTATTATCAATAAAATGAAATAAGAAGAATTATTTCATAGGATTGTTGGACTAAATAATTTGTATAAAATTATGCAATTACAATGACTCGTGACATAATTTAAATCTCATGAGTTCTAAATTCACAGGTAAAGTCAGCTAACTAATGTGAACTTATGCTTGATTTTATTGTTTGACTTTACGTTCTCGGTAAAGTCCTGTGATTTAGATAAGAGTAGGTATCAAGTAAATCAATTGTCCAATTGTACTCTTTGAGCACGTTTTCTTAACAATATGTTTTATGCACAACATTATTTAAACATATTAAGTCAAACTTCACTGAATCTCAATGCAAACGAAATCTTATAAACTTAGCTTGTGTCTCTCAGATTAATTTTTAGCAACTACCTTGGCATATCATACACATTGACAATGTTGTATATTTTACACTTGTTGTAATAATGTACATAGGTACATACAAATTGTAAAATTCTACAATGTACAATTGCCAATTACT